GAAAGATTAGAGCAGTCCTCTGTATTTGGGGTCCTTCTAGGGCTTTTGTCATTGTTCATTGGGGCAGGCAAATCACTCCCCTTATTCATTATATCCAACACTGCAGTTCCATCCCCATGTCAGGGGGTCCTCTTTGGTAAGAGGGGCTGTGGGGCAGCAGAGGATGTCCCTAAGAGGGAGTGTTCCCAAGGATGTGTGAGTCTTATTCTCCTTAATCTTAACTTTCATATTTATTGCTCAGAACTGGCTTATAAAGAATAATTTGTATCAAAATATTAGGGCAATAGAAATAGAATTTTCTGTTTTTGTTGGGACAATAAAATAGAAAATGCAATATAAGTGGCATTAATTTTTTTTGTGACACCAAAAGCATCATAGATATGAAGCTTTTGCTAAATCACTGAAGCTTATCCTTTGCCCTAATTTTTAAACTCATTCATTCATTAAAAAAATCTAGTAAGAAAAAACTACTATATATTGCATATTATGTTAGTGTTTGAGGTTAAAAGATGAAACAGGAAGTTTATATGCATCACCCAAAAGGAGTATATAACATGGCAAACAGTGGTGGCATCCTAATTAAAAAACAAATACAAGACTGAAGAACTAAGGAGTCAGAGATATTTTCTCTTCTGGGAGAATTCAAGAAAATTTCTCAGAAATGGTCTGAAATCTATCTTAAAACATGGGTGTAGCTTAGACCTGAGTTATAGGTACCAAAAAAAAAAAATAGAAAGACAGTGAGAAAGCCTTTCAGAAGAAGAATGTTTTGTTTTGTGAAGATACACTAGAGCAGAAATAGGAAATACGGTGAAAAGCTAGTCAGAGTCAGATATTGTAGAAGGACTTGAACATCAAGGCAAGAAGGGGTATATTTCTTTGTGACAGTGAGCACTTCTCTAACTTTAATGTGCACACAAATCACTTGGGAATCTTATGTCAGTAAATCTGGGGACTGAACCCAAACGTCTGCATTCCTAACATCCCAGAGGGTACTGATACTGAGAGTCATACCTTGTGTATCAACTGGGAGTCACTGCACATTATCTGATTCTCAGAGTATTAGAAGTCACTGCACATTATCTGATTCTCAGTGTATTAGAAGACAAAATCTGATCATAGTGGATCAGGCAAATTTGAATGGGAAGAAGCTCTAGGTTGCTCAACACCACTTTTTACTAGAATCAACTGTGAAGTATCACACCAAATTGTTACCCATGCCCTACTCCCAGTTTCTGATTTAACTGGACTAGAATGGGGCCCAGACTTCAGCATTTTACAGAATTTCCCCAACAAATTCTAAAGTATAACCAGGGTTGAGGACCTCTGCCATAGATAATATAGTAGTATTGCAATCATTCAAGCAAAGATTTTCATGATCAATGGCAATGCATTCGAACAGAGGAACTGCATACAATAGTATAAATATACACTATTTTATTTTTATTTTGTAAATATAAAAAAATATTTTAACAGGAAGGGAGTTAAATGTATGGTTACAACACCACTGACTTCTTCTGATTAATGATTGGTAAAATGGTTAAGAATAGAGTTTATCACTTCCAAACAGTTTCTACGAAGCAAATATCACACTGATACCAAAAGCAGACAGAGATACCACAAAGAAAGAGAATTACAGGCCGATATCCCTGATGAACACAGATGCAAAGATCCTCAACAAACTACTAGCAAATAGAATCCAACTACTCATCAAAAAGATCATACACCATGACCAAGTAGGATTCATCCCAGAGATGCAAGGATGGTTTAACATTCGGAAATCAATCAACATAATCCACCATATCAACAAAAGAAAAGATAAAAAGCATATGATCATATCAATAGATGCAGAGAAAGCATTTGATAAGATCCAGCACCCCTTTATGATGAAAACCCTAGCCAAAATGGGTATAGAGGGGACCTTCCTCAACATAATTAAAGCCATCTACCACAAGCCTACAGCAAGCATCATCCTCAATGGGGAAAAACTGAGAGCCTTCCCTCTAAGATCAGGGACGAGACAGGGATGCCCACTCTCTCCACTGCTGTTCAATATAGTACTGGAAGTACTTGCAATAGCGATTAGGCAGGAAAAAGATATTAAGGGCATTCAGGTAGGAAAGGAAGAAATCAAGCTCTCACTATTCGCAGATGATATGATACTCTACTTAGAGAACCCAATAACTTCCACCAAAAAACTCCTAGAAACAATAGACTCGTATAGTAAAGTTGCAGGTTATAAAATCAATACCCAAAAGTCCATGGCTTTCCTATACGCAAACAGTGAGAGAGAAGAAAGCAACATGAAAAAAACAATCCCATTCACAATTGTGCCCCAGAAAATCAAGTACCTAGGAATCAGCTTAACTAAGGAAGTAAAGGACCTGTACAAAGAAAACTACAAAACGCTACTTCAGGAAATAAAAGAGGACATGAGGAAATGGAAAGATATCCCCTGCTCATGGGTCGGGAGACTTAACATTGTCAAAATGGCAATACTACCGAAAGCATTGTATAAATTCAATGCAATCCCTATAAGGATACCCATGACATTCTTCAAAGAAATGGAGCAAACACTCTTGAAATTTATATGGAACAATAAGCCCCCACGAATAGCTAAAGCAGTTCTTGGGAAAAAGAAAATGGGAGGAATCAACCTCCCGAACTTCAAACTGTACTACAAAGCAGTAATAATTAAAACAGCATGGTACTGGAACAAAGGCAGAACTGCAGACCAATGGAACAGGGTTGAATACACTGACATCTCTCCTCAATCATATGCTCATCTAATCTTTGATAAAGGTGCAAGTAATGTGAAGTGGAGTAAGGAAAGCCTCTTTAATAAATTGTGTTGGCATCACTGGACGGCTACCTGCAAAAAAATAGGCTCAGAACTCTGCCTAACACCATGTACAAAAGTAAGATCAAAATGGATTAAAGACCTCAACATCAGACCAGAAACCATAAGGTACATTGAAAATAAAGTTGGCAAAACCCTCCATGACATTGAAGCTAATGGTATCTTCAAAGATGCCACGCCACTGGCCGAGCAAGTGAAAACAGAGAAGATAAATGGGACTATCTTAAACTAAGAAGCTTCTGCACCTCCAAAGAAACAGTGACCAAAATACAAAGACAGTCTACAGAATGGGAAAGGATATTCACCGAATACACATCTGACAAGGGGTTGATATCCAGGATATACAGAATACTGGTTAAACTCCACAAGAAGAAAACATCCAACCCCATCCAAAAATGGGGCAATGAAATGAACAGAAACTTTCTCAAAGAAGAAATCCGAATGGCAAAAAAGCACATGAGAAAATGCTCTACATCATTAATCATCAGGGAGATGCAGATCAAAACCACAATGAGATACCATCTCACACCTCAGAGACTGGCCCACATCCAAAAGAACAAAAGCAACCGATGCTGGCGTGGATGTGGCAAGAAAGGGACACTCCTTCACTGTTGGTGGGAATGTCCACTGGTTCAGCCCTTATGGAAAACAGTATGGACGATTCTCAAAAAATTAGAAATTGAGCTCCCATTTGACCCAGCAATACCACTCCTGGGAATATATCCCAGAGAGGCAAAAATGTATAGTCGAAGTGACATCTGCACTTGTTTGTTCATTGCAGCGCTCTTTACAATAGCCAGAAACTGGAAGAAACCTGAATGCCCAAGAACAGATGACTGGTTAAAGAAACTTTGGTACATCTACACAATGGAGTACTATGTAGCTGTTAGAAAAGATGAAGTCATGAAATTTACATACAAGTGGTACAATATGGAAAGTATCATGCTAAGCGAAATGAGTCAGAAAGAGAGGGATAGACATAGAAAGATTGCATTCATCTGGGGGATATAAAGTAACAAAGTATGAGATTAATACCCAAGAATAGCTGAGATCAGCACCAGGAGGATTACTCCATAACTTAGAGGCCAGCCAGGTATCCTAGAGGAAAGGGCAGTTCAGATAGAGAAGGGAGCACCAAATAAAGTATGTTTGGAGGATCCTCCCAGGAGGGGAGATGCATGTCGAAAGTAGACTATGGACTGAACATGTTTGCCACTCAATGCCTCTTTTGCAGACCACAACACCCAAAAGGAGAGAGAGAACACAGGGGATTGCCCTGCCACAGAGACAGGGGGGGTGGGGGGATGGGGGTGGGAGGGATATTATCCATGGTGGTGGAAAATGGGCACTGGTGGAGGGATGGGTATCTGATCATTGTATAATTGAAACCAAAGCACAAAAAATTGTAAATCTACAACTTTAAAAAAATAAAATAAAATAAAGGGGGAAAAAAAAAAAAAGAATAGAGTTTATGGGCCAGAGAAAGAGTACAATGAATAGGATGCTTGCCTTGCATGAAGTCAACCCCAGGTTCAATCCCTGAAACCACATAGGGTCCCCACGGTATCACCAGGAGTGATTCCTGAGCAAAAAGTCAGGAGAAGTAAGTCCCAAACACTATGAGGGGTGGCCTCCAAACCAAAAACAACAACTTGAAAATAATGCAGAGTCTGGACTCAGAATGTCTGGTGTCTGGGTTCAAATCCAGTCCTACTTACTTAACAGGGTATGTTTATGTGCTTTGTGAAGTGGGGAAACTTGGTCAAATTCCTGTACCTCTTATGATTCAATTGCCTCCTCTGCAAATTGGGGATATAATAATAACCAACACACAGTTATAGTGATGAAGAAAATTAACATATATAGAGTTCTGAGGTGTTTGGTACACAAAGAACCACGTTTTGTGTTTGCTATTACTATTACAGAGTTCATATCTATTCTGATCTCTCCAAGATGTTGAACTGGTATGTTAAGAATAATCTGGAAAAGAAGTACTTAAAAAAAGCTCTCAACCCTAAGTCAATTAGAAATCACTAGGTTATTTGTTACAGACTCCAAGTAGATCTAGGTGGCACACCCACCCCTCATCACCTTGGACCATTTCCAAGATCTCTGAAAGTAATAGCTATAGAATCCCTACTTGAACTGCTGGTCCTTGGTGCTGCGTGTCTTGGCTAGGAAGCGCTCTGCCAGCTTTTCCAGGTTGCGGGAGTAATCCATCTCGATTTCAGCCTTTTTGCGGAAGAAGTCCTGGAGATCCTGCAACAATTGCACCCGAAGCTCACACTGCTGGTCCAGGCATTTCATTTGTTCTGTGAGCTGAGCACGAATCTCTGCAATACAACAAGGGAAGACAGGTGAGAATCCATGAAAATTCACATACGTACACCAGTATTTATCTTTTCCATGCCATTGCTCCCTATTATCTGGGGAACTTGAAGCTTTAAAAAAAAAAAAAAAGGAAAAAATTTTAATGTCTGAAATAGTCAAATGATTTGAGGTACCTACAAAAAAACTCAATTATTTTCAGACTATTGAGGAACACTGGGAACCAAGAAACTGTGAAATCATCTAAGAGAAACTCTTCTATTAGATACAATTACCATGGAAAAATTTGGGCTTTCTTCTAGCCAAGAACTTAATGAGCGATCTATAAGATACTATTTTCATATATTCCAGTCATCCTATGCAATATATAATATTTTCTTCCCCATTTTGAAGAAAAGAAAACTGGCTGAATTTTTGTTTTTATTGTTTGAAGGTGGGGGTGAGGGGTGCAGGAGGGGGTGTGGCACTGGGTCATACCCACCACTGCAAAAGTGCTCTTTCTAACTATGTGCTCAGGCTGGACACTTGCAGATGCTTGAGGGACCACATGTGGTGAAAGGTATTCTAACCAGGGGTTGGCTGCATGAAAAGCACCTTACTTTCAGATAAAACTGGATTTTGAAGAAATCAAGCAATCAAGTGGTTAGAGCCTGGATCCAAACCCAAATAGACTGAAATCAGAGCCCAAGTTCCAACTTTTTATGTTCCCCATCATTTCAAAATGTATTCAACATGTTTGTGAAGTAGACTGACATTTGAATGAAGAAAGGGCCCTGCCCAAGGTCAAATAATGACAGTCAAAAATTAAACAAATACCATTGAGCTTAGTTGGCTTCTATGCTACTTTCCCATCTTATCTGCTGTGTTCCTACTGGTCCGTCAGTATTGTGGAATTTGGAGGTATTGCATGACAGTCACATGCTTCAGGAGTTCTAGGATCTGTAGAACTGGGATGACCCCCCCCCCCCCACGAGGGCCCCAGAGTTCTCCGCCCAAAGACCAGTGAGTTGCACTGATTTAGCATCTCTTCTGACATTAGTTGTGAAACTGGGTGGTTGTTTACAAGTCGGTGGCTGTGGGATGTGGATGTGGTTGCTGGGGCTCCCTGAGGCCTTGGAGTAGGGGCATGTATCCCCGACCCCCATTTACCAGCAACAAAGAGCTCAGTGATTCCTCAAACAATGACTTTAATAATCCCTCTGTGAGATGTAACAATTTTCACAAATTTACTTTTACTGAAGTATTTTTCCTTTTTTTTCTTTTTTTTCTTTTCTTTCTTTTTCTTTTTTTGTTGGGTGTGAGGTCATTCCCAGTAATGCTTGGGGTTACTTCTGGCTCTGTGCTCAGGAATTACTCCTGGCGGTGCTTATAGGACCATATGGGATAACCGGGGATTGAACCTGGGTCAGCTGCATGCTAGGCCCTACTTCCTGCACTATCGCTCCAGCCCCAACTTAAGGTAAAGGTACAGGTAAAGGCCCTCCCGTTGATCGTCGATTTGCTCGAGCGGGCCCAGTAATGTCTCCATTGGAGACTTTGTTGTTACTGTGTCTGGCATATCGAATACTCTCGGTAGCTTGCCGGGCTCTCCGAGAGGGGCGGAGGAATCGAACTCGGGTCGGCCATGTTGGCCGCTTGTAAGGCGAACGCCCTACCCACTGTGCTAATTTGCCATTTTTTTCACAACAAGCAATATAAAATAAAGTACCTTTTGCCTAAGGGCTTTAGGGGGTGAGAAACTGGGAACAACTGTGGAGAGAACATTACACTGGTGATGGGACTGGTGTTGGAACAGTGAATACCCAAAACAACTGTATCAGGAACAACTTGGAAACCACAGGATTTAAATAAACTTTCTAAAAAAAAAAAAAGAATTAAGTGCCAGAACTTTTAGGCCAGCAGATAATTCACTGTATCATATTTCATAATTTCCAACAACAAAATATAAATCACTCTTCAAGAAGTAGATTTTTCCACTAACAAATATTATACCCATCCCTACTGCTTTCTCCTCCCCAAAGTTCAGAACCTGTGTTGTACTGGAGAGATATTTCTATCTGGCTTTGTAGATTTCTGGCTGGTGAGTGTACTCCTGCAAGGCTAGTAAATATCCTCTGGCTGGAGCTGCAGTAATGGTAACTTCAGATGCAACCAAATTTGCCTCAAATGCTATACTGCATTTGTTACTAACAACAGACTTGGCTCCCAAAGGAAGCAGCTTGCTAAAGCCAGATTGCTTTTTCAGCCCAGAAAAGGCCTACAGTGTGTGTACTGCAGAAATTTTGTATCCATTCCCATTTGAGTGAGAACGGGCCATTTTTCTTTCTATCTTTCTCCCTCTCCCCTTTGTTTCTGTCCCTTCATTCCTACTCCTCCTTCCCACCTCCATCTCTCTCACTGCTGGGGAGCAGGGCATACCACATGGTACTAGAATGAGCTCAGGACCTCAAATATTCAGGGCTAGTGCTCTACTGATGGAGTCATATCTCTAGTCCCTGGAGCCTTTTCTATAACCCCTTTCACTTGCAAGTCTGTTCAGTTCCAAATGCATTAGGATGTGACCGTTGCTCTAGTTCTGGGGATAGCACCTACATTATGATCTTTCCTTATACATGTTTCCAAATATGTATACAATTCATTGTCAAATAGTGTTCATTCTCAAGTAGTCATAAGAATGTTATATGTATAGGAAGAGCTACATTTTTCACCTGAGCTGTGGATAAATCATAAGAAAATACCAGAGCAGAGATATGATGCTTAAACATTTACCAACCACTCCTTTTATGAAGCAATGAGGGAGAGGCAAATAAATGCACATTTAACTTTGTCATGGAATAGCTGGGGTGGGGGTGTGGGGTGGGATACCTAATCTATTTCCATCTTCATTTTTATTTTCATAGATATTACAATCTGGTTCTTTGTGGGTATTCTTTAATAATCTTTTTTTAAATAATATATTTTTTAATTGAATCACTGTGAGATACACAATTACAAAGTTTTTGAAATGATTGGGTTTTAGTCACACAATGTTCCAACACCCATCCCTTTGCCAGTGCACATTTCCCACCACCAATGTCCCCAGTTTCCCTCCTGTTCCCACCTACCCACCCTTTTGGGCAGTAAGGTATGCAATACAGATACTGAAGGGCTATTATGTATACCCCTTTGTCTATCTTTTGCACTCAGTTTCTGTCCAGAGTGATCATTTTCAACAATTATTGTCACAGTGGTCCCTACTTAGGTGCAGCTGTTACCCTCTTCATTCCCATAACCCCCCTTGCCAAACATCAATGGAACAAGACCTGCAGTCACCTCACCTGAACTGAAACCGAGCACCAGAGGATTGTTTCAAGCAGACAGAAGATTGCGTAGAAAAGTCGCCTAGCTCATCACTCATCAAAGCTCTCTTGGTCTATGTTTTTGGAGTCTGATTACAAGGGAGTCGAGAGGAAGAGGGAAAAAAAATCTACAGAGTGCATGCCAGGCATGTGGTTATTGCCAAGGATTCTGAACATCTTAAAGGCAACGGCTCCTGTCAAGACTATTCCTAGAGGCATCTATCTCCCTTCTATATACCATAAGAAGATTGCACAATAGTCACTGGCTCGGCAGACTGCATGAGAAGGTCATTTAAACTCTTCACTGATATCACTTAGAACCTGCATATTAAATAAGAATCATGGCATCTGAGGGTAAAATGTTTCTCCGGGTATCCAGTCAGATATGCAAGGGGTTATGGATGGGTAACAGGCAACGGGTCATTCCCCTTGAGTGACCTGTAATTTATTCACTCAAATCTTACAAACAGAGGGAACAAAAAGAAGTCAACTAAAATAGATGGGAATCACCTCCCACCAAAATAAAGGAGGCTAGATAAATTCCAATGACATCCATTAAGTTCCAGGGTTGTCTTGTCCAAGGAACCAGCACTTCAAAGAATATCTCTGAGTACAGGTTTAATTTAAGAAGTCACCTTCAGCCAACACAGAATTCTTCTGAATTCTCAGGTGCCTTAATTAGTAGGCAGCTCAGAACAGATGACATTCCACCCTCAGACAACCCTATATACCCCTGAGGGAATGGGAGCATGTGTTATTAAACACTGAAAGGGCGCTTATATACATAATCTAATTCAATCCTCACAACTAATCCATGAACTATTCCCAGCTACCTGACTGTACGGATGAGAGAACTGGATTAAGACTCATTAAACAGCCTATCAATGGGTCAGAAATTAAGAGTAAATGGGATCAAAACTAAATTGTATTTTAGGATACAACGATAGGATGCAATTCATACAATCATAGGGTTGTATGAGTTGTTCATAGGATTGTACGAGTTGTCAAAGATTTTAATAAGTCAGGGTAACAAAAGAAACAAAACCTGAATTTGGAGTTTCGGAAAGTATTTCTGGGCAAATCACAGTGACTATGGATCTTACTCCTGGTGGATCCCCTTCGCCTTTCTGCTGAATGGTGATTCAGATGCCCAGAGGCAAAGAGCCTAGAAACTCACTAACTAGCCCATGTTTCCACTAACTTACAATTTAGCTGGGTCCCTTTCCCAGCATCCTAGATCTATTCTACAGGCAACTTTGGAGAAGATGTTTATCTTGCCCTTAGTCTGTAAGTAATCTTAGAGGATAGAGGCAGAAGAGTCTTTTTGGAGAGAAACCACCAGCCAACATGGTTTATATGTGATAGGCCCCAATTGAGTAGCCCCCCAACCTTCCTGAAAGAAGAATCATTGGCTCCCGTAGTCAGAGCATCTGGACACTACAGGGAGATTCCAACCACTTCATCTCCAGGGTTACGGCACCAAGACAAAACGGCTGCTCTGTCCAGGGCAAAATGTGCTGTTGCAGCTACTACTAAGAAAATAAATGACACCCCAAGAAGGTAGTTGTGTCAGCTCCAGTCTTCTGTCCCTGTATATATATACATATATGTATATATGTACATATATAAATATCACAAATGAATGAAGTCATTTTTCTATCTGTCCC